AGGATCAGGCACACGTAACAGGAAAGGCACTGCAATTGATCATAGAATAACTGACAAAGAGGCAACAACGCGTCATGGTACGGGATGAGGTGTCAAAGTGGGCGCCTGTGACAAGCGGGGTTCCACAGGGGTCAGTCCTAGGACCTGTGCTGTTCTTGTATATGTGAATGACATAACGGAAGGGAAAGACCAGAAATGTCCTTGTTTGCAGACGATGTGAAGTTAATGAGAAGAATCAAATCGGATGAGGATCAGGCAGGACTACAAAGAGACCTGCACAGGCTACAAACCTGGTCCAGCAGCTGGCTCCTTGAGCTTAACCCCGCCAAATGCAAAGTCATGAAGATTGGGGAAGGGCAAAGAAGACCGCAGACACAATATAGTTTAGATGGCCAAAGTCTGCAAACCTCACTCAAGGAAAAAGATCTGGGGGGGAGTATAACACCGAGTATACCTCCTGAGGCGCAAAACAATCAGATAACTGCTGCAGCATACGGGGGCCTGGCAAACCTATGGATAGCGTCCGATACCTCAGTAAGGAGTCGTTCAAGACCTGTATTCCATTTACGTCAGGCCCCTACTGGAGTAAAGCAAACACCAGTTTTTGGGAAACCACACCTAGTCAAGCACGTCAAGAAATTAGAGAAAGTGCAAAGGTTTGAACAAGACTAGTCCCCAGAGCTACGGGATTGTCCTACGAAGAAAGTTGAGGGAAATCGGCCTGACTACACTGGAGGCCAGGAGGGTCATGGGAGACATGATAACGACATATAAAATACTGCACGGAATAGACAAGGTGGACAAAGACAGGATGTTTCAGAGATGGGACACAGACACAAGAGGTCACAATTGGAAGTTGAAGACTCAGATGAATCAAAGGGATGTTAGGAAGTATTTCTTCAGTCATAGAGTAGTCAAACCGTGGAATAGCCTAGAAAATGAAGTAGTGGAGGCGGGAACCAAACATAGTTTTAAGGCGAGGTATGATAAAGCTCATGGAGCAGGGAGAGAGAGGACCTTGTAGCAATCAGTGAAAAGGCGGGGCCAGGAGCTATGACTTGACCCCTGCAATGACAAATAGGTGAGTACAAATACGCGAGTACATACATACTCCTCCCCTCTTCTCCACCTCTTCCTCCTACTTCTCTTCCTCTTCCTCCTCTCTCTCCTCTTCTCCTCTCCTCTCCCTCCTCTTCCCCTCCAATTCTGCCTCCTCCCCTCACTCCTCCTCTTCCTCTCTCACCTCCTCCTCTTCCTTCCTCCTGTTCCTCTTCCTTTTCCCCCTCCTCCTTTTGATTCTCCTCTTCTCTCTCCTTCTCTGGTGCAGAGTCTACTAGGCCTACGAACATTATACACTCACAAGAGCATGTGTAACCATACTTTGTGCATACACAAACATGTACACGAACCCTTGTCACCACTGTAAAGGCTGATGCTAACCATCCTTAGCTACACATGTTCCCCCACACTCCTTTCTCTCTCTCTCTCTCTCTCTCTCTCTCTCTCTCTCTCTCTCTCTCTCTCTCTCTCTCTCTCTCTCTCTCTCTCTTCTCTCTCTCTCTCTCTCTTTCTCACTCTCTCACTCTCACTGTCCTCTTCTCTCTCTCTCTCTCTCTCTCTCTCCTCCTCTCTTCTCTCTCTCCTCCTCTCTCTCTCTCTCTCTCTCTCTCTCTCTCTCTCTCTCTCTCTCTCTCTCTCTCTCTCTCTCTTTCTCACTCTCTCACTCTCACTGTCTCTCTCCCTCTCTTTCTCCCACTCTCTCTCTTCTATTCCACATCCTCTCCCTCTTCATCTTCCTTCTCTTCCTCCTCTCTGTCTTTCTCCCCACCCCCTTTTCTGCACTTCCCTTTCCCTTCTCCACTTGTACCCCCTAACCTTCCCTGCTTTTCTCTCCCTATCTGCCACTGTCCCCCTCTGGCTATCCCTATGGAAAATTCATAAGCACTTCTTTCTGTGGAAGAAAAATGGGATCCATAAAGCAGGACAGAAAACCTGGGTAACCCGCTATATGCCTCCACCAGGGCTCCTGCTTCCACAAACCCACCATTCTTCCGAGACCATAGATTTAGTAAAGCAGTTGAAGGTCTGGTATACAAACGTGGATAGAATAACGAATAAATGTGAGAAGTGGCATGTAAGAAACAAGGAGACGTCCCCAGTCATCATAGCTCTCACAGAAACAAAACTAACTTGGATAATAATAGATGCAATCTTCCCACCCAGATATCAGATCCTGAGGAAAGATAGGAGCAGAGGTGGAGGAGGGGCTGCACTGCTCATTAAAAAATGATGGGGATTCCAGGAAATGGAAGGCATGGACGAGAAATGAGGAAGGGATTACATAGTAGGTACAATTCAGTCTGGGGGACATATGGTAACTATTGCAGTGATGCATAACCTACCACAGAACTGCAGGAGGCCATGAGATGAATATGAAGAGAGAAACAGAGCAATGGTAGCCACACTAGCTGAGGTGGCCAGAAGACTTCACTTGAGCAAAGCAAAGTTACTGCTTATGGGCGATTTCAACCACAGGGAGAATTATTTGGAAAACCTAGATCCACATGGGGGTCCAGGAACATGGAGAGCCATGATGGATGTACTGGAAAACCTCATGCACCAACATGTTAGCGACACCACCAAAGAGAGAGGGGACGATGAACCAGCACGATTGGACCTAGTGTTTACCCTGAGTTGCTCAGTCATTGAGGACATCACAAATGAAAGGCCCCTTGAAGTTAGTGATCACATGTTTCTGAGCTTTGAATGCATAGTAGAGTTACAAATGGAGAGGGTAACAGGAGTGGAAAGGATAAATGTAAACTTTAAAACGAAAAATTTTGTCGAAAAATTCACAAATTGAGTTAATCTTATAAAAAAAAACAGCTTAACTCTCTGGCAACACAATGGTACAAGAATCTTGTTGTACGACATTCCTACAAGGAATAATGGTCATTTAAAGCACCTAGGATGACGCCACCACCCGCGGCAGGTGTGCTCACCTGTCGTCAATTTTCATTTTTTTTCTGTTTTTTTTCTCGTGAATTTATTGTATTATTCTTTCTAAGATAATAATTGACGATTTGGCATCAAAATACAGTGGGTGGGACTTATACATAGACTTCCAGCCAACCAGGAACCTTCTGGCACCATTTTGCTGACGTCATGGAAAATTCCAGTCTGGGGATGACGGGGAATATGCTTCAATATAACGCTATTATAGCTTCTACGGCTTATTTATCTATCACAGTTTATCTAATATGACATAATAAACAATATAAATAACAAAGAAATATGGTAAATACTCCAGAATGAATAATATATGGCACATTCCTAGAGCGTTCCCACGGGAATATAAGATTCCCATCGAAAGGGAGGGGCTTCCATTCTCCTTCTTTCATGTCCAGGGTCCTTATATTAAAGAAAACGGACGTTGGTAACTATGATATACACTCGTAATGCTGAGAAAAATGCTATTTTCTCGAAAAAAAAAATCGGTGGTCCGGCTGTTTCGCGGGTTATCTCGGAAGTAATTTATTCCACATATATAAGACAGTGTTTTCGTTAATTATAGCAGGAATGCAATGAAATTCACAGAGAACATAAAGGAAAGATTGTTTTATAAGCTGGTGAGTAGTCAACTGAGATATCATAATTTGATTTTTATTTTTGTGAGGGCAAAATTCAGATATTTGTCTGAATATCAAAACCATACAAATTTATTTTTTTAAGAATGAAGAAAGGATAAATTACAGTTCTGGTAATTGTGCTAAATACAGTTTAGCATTGTTTTATGCGTAGATAATGCCAAAACAGCTTCTCCAAGTACCATTACGAAAATACAGTTCAATATGTATGATTATTAGTAAATAATTTTTTTCTCAGTTGTTTTTTGAGCTATCTTATTGAACCTTGGTCACATTACTATTGAAACGTTCTTCTGTACGTACAAGAAAAAAAAATGAAAGAAATCGAAAGAAAAATAAAGAATTTCAGGCACGGACGCTCTACACAAGTATGAAGTACTTCCTGCAGGAGTTTCAGTGGGAAAGAAAATTGTTAGGAAAGTTAGTAAATGAAATAATGGAGTATGTAACAAGAAAATGTAAGGAGTCAGAGGAAAGGTTTGTTCCCAAGTGTAACAGAAATAATGGGAAGATCTGAATGCGCCCTTGGTTTACCCGAAGGTGTAGGGAGGCAAAAACTAAGAGCACTAGAGAATGGAAAAAGTACGGAAGGCAAAGGACTCAGGAAAATAAAGAGATTAGTTGACGAGCCAGAAACAAGTATGCACAGATAAGTAGGGAGGCCCAGCAGCATTACGAAAAATGACAGAGTCAAAAGACAAGTCTGACCCGAAACTGCTTTACAACCACATCAGGAGGAAGACAACAGTCAAGGATCAGGTAATCAGGCTGAGGAAAGAAGGTGGGGAGCTCACAAGAAATGACCAAGAAGTATGTGAGGAGCTCAACATGAGATTTCAGGAAGTATTTACAGTGGAGCCTGAAGGGACACTGGGAAGACAAAACAGTGGGGTACAGCAACAAGGGTTATACCAACAAGTGTTGGATGAAATACACACAACCGAGGAGGAGGTGAAGAAGCTCCTAAGTGACATTTATACCTCAAAGACGGTGGGACTGGACAAATTTTCTCCATGGGCCCTTAGAGAGGGAGCAGAGATACTGTGTGTGCCACTAACCACAACCTCATCCCTTGAAACTGGGCAAATACCTGAGGCATGGAAGTTGGCATATGTAGTCCCCATCTTTATGAGACAGAAATGAAGCATTAAACTATAGACCAGTATCACTGACGTGTATACTATGCAAAGTCATGAAGAAGATTATCAGAAGGAGAGTGGTGGAGCAACTTGAACAGAACAAGATTAGTACGGACTCATGGAAGACAAATCCTGTGTCACAAACCTTCTGGAGTTTTATGACAAGGTAACAGAAGTAAGACACAAGAGAGAGGGGTGGGTTGATTGCATTTACCTGGACTGCAGTAAGGCCTTCGACACAGTTGCTCACAAGAGATTAGTGCTGAAGCTGGAGGTTCAGGTGCATATAACAGGAAGGGCACTGCAATGGATTAGAGATTACTTGATAGGGAGGCAACAACAAGTCATGTTATGTGAAGAAGTATCACAGTGGGGACCGGTAAAGTTCGGGGTCCCACAGGGTCAGTCCTAGGATGAGTCCTGTTTTTGATATATATGAATGACATGATGGAAGGGATAGATTTTGAAGTGTCCCTGTTCGTAGATGATGTGAAGTTAATGAGAAGAATTAGATCAGATGAGGATCAGGCAGGACTACAAAGAGACCTAGACACGCTGGACAAATGGTCCAGCAACTGGCTTCTTGAATTCAACCCTGCGACATGCAAAGTCGTGAAAATTGGGGAAGGGCAAAGAAGACTGTAGACAGAGTATAGGCTAGGTGGACAAAGACTGCGAACTTCACTCAAGGAGAAAGACCTTGAAAGAACGTGTGTTGGGACGTGACGAGGTGTCAAAGTGAGCACATATGTAGAGTAGGCTTTCATATGAATCAGTCCTAGGTCAGGTACTATTTCTTGCACATGTAAATGACATGACTGAAGAGATATATTCAGACGTGCCCCTGCTCATAATGATGTGAACCTAGTGAATACAGGCGGATAAGAATGAAGTGAATCTCCAGGATGATTTGGACACGATGAAAGCCTGGTTTGACAAACGGCTTCTCGAGTATATTCTCACAAAATGCAAAAATCATGTAGCTTAGGGAAGAACAAAGACCGCTGATGGAATACAGCTTAGGGGGGTCAAAGGAGGTAAAACTCTCTCAAGGAAAAGGTTCTTGAGGTTAGCATTATACAGAGCACATCTCCTGATATACACAGTAAACCAAATAGCTACTGCAGCATACAGGCTTCTGGGAAACCTATAAATAGTGTTGCAACATCCATGGTGTCATTTACGACATTGTAGACCATGTAATTCAGGCCCATCTGACCCACACCTCATGAAACACCTCAAGGAATTGGAGAAAGTGTAATAGTTTGCAACATTTTTAGTCCCAGAGCTATGGAGTATCTCCTTAGGTTTGTCAGGAAGTGGAACTGTCTAGATAGTGAAGTAGTAGAGACAGGATCCATTCACAGCTCCAGAAGAGATAGTGACTTGGCATTCTTGTAAAAGAATACGAAGAGTTGGTGACTTTTCTTTTAACAGATTTCCACTTTGCGTCTTGGCCACCGATGTAGAGATAGACAGTATAATAACCTATGTGACATGTCATTTTATTTTATAAATAAAAATAGGATACCAAATACATTAAAAAATATTCATGAATTTGCTGGTAGCAGAAAAGTGAATTGTTGAAATAAATCCAGATATGCTCTTGTTCCCTTTTGAGTATACATATGCTCTTGTGGTACCCTCCACAGGATGGATATGGGATGCAAAATAAACTAGATACTTAGGTGGCAATTTCTAAGATGCAGTCCTTTTTCTCTCTCTCAATCTCCCACTCTCCATCTCTCCCTTTCTACCTCTTCCCCCCCCCCCCCTCTCTCTCTCTCTCTCTCTCTCTCTCTCTCTCTCTCTCTCTCTCTCTCTCTCTCTCTCTCTCTCTCTCTCTCTCTCTCTCTCTCTCTCTCTCTCTCTCCCTCTCTCTCTCTCACTCTCTCTCTCTATATATATATATATATATATATATATATATATATGTCGTGCCGAATAGTCAGAACTTGCGATATTGCCTTAAATAGCAATGCTCATCTTGCCATATAAAACAAGACAGAATTTGTGTATGCAATAATTTCACCAAACGAAAAAAATTTATTTCACTATGTTTGCTTAGTATTAAATTATTGTAAACAAATCTAAAATGTATTTAGTTGGGTTAGGCTAAAATAAATTGTTCTCGTTATAATAAGGTTAGGTAAGTTTTCTAAGATTCTTTTGGAGCAAAATTAATTTTTTTTACATTAACATTAATGAAAAAATATATCTTTGAACGTATAAGAGAAAATTTTAGAAAGGTCTTAATTTTAAATGAGTTCTTACTAATTGACCAGTTTTACACATTCGGCACGACATATATATATATATATGTTTAAATATATATATATATATATATATATATATATATATATATATATATATATATATATATATATAATATATATATATATATATAATATATATATACATAAAAATATATATATATATATATAATATATATATAATATATATATATATATATATATATATATATATATATATATATATATATATATATATATATAAATTGTGACCACGAACGAGTGGTATTGATCAATAACAGCACTGCACTAGCCAAGGACTCGAACCAATGTTGCTTTGGCCTGCTTGATGGTGGGCGAAAGCACTTGACCCCTAATCCACTGTACCATACAATCCTTAAGAGTAGCGCATCCAGAAGAACTGGATGTTGTACTCGGTACCCAAGGGCACACGATGATGTGGATGACTCTAGGCTAATTTCATTCTATCTCTGTTTGGTGTACTAGTATATCGAGCAGTATTTTATACTGTGCCCACAAAACGAGTGGATTGACAATAACATCACTGCTCTACCAATTTCGAGCCCTTTGGGCTAGTGCAGTTTGTTATTGATCAATATCACACGTTGGGTTTCACAATAAAAAAAAATAGCTCGTTGAACTATCACCAAACAGGGACAAATGAAATTAGCCTAATCATCCACCCCATCATACCCTTTGGGTAGCGAGTACAACATCCATTCTGCGGATGCTCTACTCTTAACTTTAAAGGTCCTTAATTAAGGCTCATGGTTTTTGCCCCCAAGAGGCACCAAAGCACAGGGGTTCGTAGGGGTTCCCCCTGAAAAAAGGCCCCCCAGAGGGGTTTTCCTTTTTTCCCAATTTGGGCCCCCTTTTTACACCTATGTCTAAGACCTTTTTTTACTCCAGTCTAAACCTTTACCCCCCCCCACACCCCCCCCCACGACCCCCGCCCCAACCCCCCCCCCAGCCCCCCCCACGACCCCCCCCACGACCCCGCCACGACCCCGCCCCCGACCCCTCACCCCCCCCCCGCCCCCAAAACCCCCCCCACCCCCGCCCCCCCCCCCGCGCCCCCACCCGCGCCCCCCCACCCCGCCCGTCCGGCCCCCACCCACCGGCCCCGCCGCCCCTCGCCCCCGCCCGCCCCTCGGGGCCCCCCCCCCCGCGCCTTCCAAATGCGCCTTCTCAGCGTCGTCCGGATCGCCCCCCGCGCCCCGATTTTTTTCCCGATTTTTTCGATTTTTTTTTTAATTTTATTTGCTCTCCTCCAATCAAGTTTTTCTCGAAATACCAAACTCCACTTTTTCGATCAAGTTTTTTGGGTTGCCTCTCCCATTTCACCCCCATCCCAATTTTTATTTTCTTATGATCTCCTTGGATGAAGTTTTTTTTTCTCGATAATACCAAGACTCCATCTCCTCGGATCAAGTTTTTCTCGATATCAAAGACTCCAATTCCTCGACAAGGTTTTTTCCCCGATAAACAATTTTTGGATTCCCCCCCATGGGGTTTCGAAATTCTTATGAAAATCCCTTTTTTCAGGTTTTTTTTGGGTTTCCCCCCCCCCAACTTTCACCCCCACCCCAAATTTTTTCAATTTTTTTTTTCTGGATAATACGAAAGACTCCATCTCCTCGGATCAAAGTTTTTGGATTCCCCGCTCTGGGGGTAAGCATTCAAATGAACTCCTCCTATAGGGAGGTGCCTCTCTTTAACAGTCAAAACAAGTGTACCATATTCCCCTCTTTAAGTTAAATGTAGTAATATGGGTGTTTACTCGGGCCTCGGTCAGTGACGTCACACACATATACAGGGCTCATCTTGTCGACTTCCCCCCTATAAAGTGAGTCACGGATGACCGAAACACACAGCGCCTTGAAACTTGTCGACTTCCCCCCACACATTTCATATACAAACATAGGGAAAAACATTTTCACTCTAACCGGGATAAACCAAATAATTTCACAATTTTTTCGTTATACCCACAATGTCTTTACAATATACAACAATGTCTAGATATGTATCTCGTTTTAACTATTTCATCTCAGTCACACCCACGAAGTAACCTCATCCCCACCCTCCCGAACCCTCACATTCAACCAACCACCTCACAATTTTCACTCATAACCACAATTTCTCGTTTTAAACTAATTTCATCAGAAAAAGTCGCAACAAAACTTATAACCAACTTTTCCTTTAAATTCTCTAGGACACAATTTCACATATTACAAAGTTAATACGCACACACACCTCACTTTGAACACCTTCAAACACTCTTCATAAATTCATTTGAAATACTCTCAAAAAATACCTTTGAACATTTCCATACAACACTGAAACACTTCCAACGACAACATTTTGAATACTCCCAATAAGATTTGACTGCTCATTTATCTACACTTACACATTTCATTAAATTACAACTCATCCCCCAAACTCCTCTCACAGTCTCAGACTTCACAACATTATCACAAAAATCAACTCAAACACTTTAAACTTTGAACATCACCAAAAATAACACAATCAATGCCTTTAAAATACTCACAAACAATATTTCGAACACCCCAAAATCACCTCTGAATACTCTCAGAACACCTTCATAAGTACTCTTGCACATCATTTGAACACTTCAAAAACTCCTTTGAACTTTTCCAAACAACACTGAAACATTCCAATCACAATTTGAGTACTCCCAATTACACACTGAATATTACTAAATCACATGAATTCACTCAAAACACCAACAAAATCACCATAAACTAAGATCAAACCCACATCCCACTTCACCCACATCCCACAACACCAACAACAACCACAACCCACAACACCCACACCCCACATTTTTTATTCTCGTTTTAACTTATTTATCAGAAAAGGCACAACATAACACACTTTATAACATCTTTTCTCGATATCTCTAGTTCGACAACAACACCCACGACACCCACAAAACACCCACAACACCACAACCACACACCACCCACAACCCACTATTTTTTTCTCGTTATAACTAATTTCTCAGAAAAAGCACATCAAAACCACTTATAACTCTTTTTTGGGTATCTCTTAGTTCGACAACACCCAATCACCCACTCCCACAACACCCACAACCCAAATCACCCACACCCCACAACACACACAACCACTATCACACTCACCCACAACTACTCATCAACAACCCACCCACATCACCCACACCCCAAATTTTTTTTTTCTCGTTTTAAACTAATTTCATCAGAAAGTCACATCACAACAACCCAAACTTATAAGCACACCTTTGAATACCTCAAAACACCATTTTGTGTTTACTCCAAATACCACCAATGTATACTACTAAAACACCACTGAATACACTAAAACTCCACCAAAATCACAATAAAACTAAGATCAACACCCACAACACCCCAATCAACCAACAACACCCTATCCCACATCACCACAACCCACATCTCCAAAACCCACAATTTTTTTCTCGTTTTAACTAATTTTCATCAGAAAAAGTACAAATAACAACCCACTTATATCATATTCAGCATCTTCTAGTTCGACTACATTACCCACAACCTCATCAATTACATTTTATTCACATTTTTTCCCTTTCCTTTTTACTGAATCTTAATTGTAATACACATTTCTCTTTACATACTTAAAATTTATTAAAATCCTCTCCATACCCCAGGTCCTTGTATCCTCATAAATGATTTTATACTCGCATCAACTAATCTCACTACCCAACAATTGCGTCATGTTTTCAACACCCTCCATTCTTTTCCAATTATCATAACTTTTCAATTCTATAATTTCTTTTTAAAATTTCACACATTACTTTTTTTTCAGTAAAACCCCCCATATTTCATTAAATTTCCTAATACAAGCCTCCCCATACCTATCCATCTCACCGCATTTCTTCACATTCACTCACCCATCGCCAAACACCAACTCTTCTCATCAACACACAAAAATCTCATTTAACATCCACAAATGCATCTCATCAATCATATCAAATCACTAAAATCACTGTTAACCAAGATATTCACAAAACTCTATGACACCTAACACACACACACACACACAAACACCACACACACACAAGCAACACACACACACACACACACAAACACACACACTAACACACACACACACACACACACACACACACACACACACACACACAACCACCACACAGAGGACCACACACCCACACCTAACCTAACCTAACTAACCTAACCTAACCAAACCTAACTATCCTAACCTAACTAACATAAATACTTACCCTATCCTTACCTAACCTAACCTAACCTAACCAAACATACCTACCTATCCTATAACCTACCTAACCTAAACTAACCTATACTATCTATCCTAACCTAACCTAACCTAACCTATCCTATCCTATCTATATCTAACCTAACTTATCCTAACCTATCCTAACCTAACCTAACCTACCTAACATAACCTTACCTAACCTAACCTAACCT